GTGTTGTTGTGGTAGTGTATGGTTGTGAATAGTGGTGGCGGATTTTTTAGATGTATATTTTGCTATTAAGAGATTTTAAATCACTTACGCTAAGGTAAATAATATTTTTATCTATACTTTGTTTTATACTTTTTTAATTTTTAGATTTATTTGGGAAAATTTGTAGCTGTTCTCAATCCTATTCAAGTAATTTCGTTTTAACATAACATCGAATACATTAGTTTGGACGTTTCGCATAGTGTTGTTTTGAATATTTGTTTGGAATAGTACATTAGGAATTCCTTATTTTGATTATTACTTTCTAATGGCATATTTGACTTTCTGTCCCAATAAAATAAACTCTATCACCACAAACATTTCAGGTGTTACGAATTTGGTATTTAAAAAGCTAATGTTAGTTCAATTACAAATTAAATGATTTTATTTCTCGCGCAGTGCAGCGCGTGACGAATATTAAAAGAAAGCTAAGCCATAAAATTGAAATTACAAGAGCACGTGCATTAAATAAATAAATATCTCTTTTTGATTTCGAGAAAGTACTGGAAAATTCTAGCGCGTGATTTTAAAATCTTATAAAAGGAGGAAAACATCTCAGTTTGTAGTAGTTGCTTAGTTTGTGTTGTTTTTAGAAACTGCTCTTGTTGATTGTAGCGAATTCGCGGATTAGCGTTCTTTAGCTGTTTTTAATTGCGTTCTATGGACCTACAATACTGCAGCACCAGGTAATCAGGCATTAATAACAACTATAGATGCATTCATTCAATTGATTCCATGTTTGTTTCAAAAGTATGAAGCTGAATACATATTGTTAGGAAAATTTCAAACTGATGCTCCTGAATCACGTTTTGAAATGTATCGGCAAATGTCAGGTTCAGATTATTAAATAAATGACCTACAATTATTAGAAAATGAGAAGAAGCTTCGTTTTATAATTTCATCATCAAATATGAATGTCTCTTTTACCAGATTATGATAAGGATTCTATCTTTACTTTTGCGAATATTAATTGATTATTCAAATTTACTAATTAATGATTTTTTTATAGAAAATGTTTCTTCTGATATTTTAGCAGTGCTAGTTTATGTTTCAGGTTATGATGCCATGAAAAAATTAAGGGTGATAAAATGCAATATTTGCCAGGACTGGTTGCAAAGTATTCATTCAGTAGATACAGCAGATGATATTTTTGGTTTTCTTAAAGAATTAGATAAGGGGGAAATTAAAAATTTTCCATCTGAAGTTACTCTATTAAAATCTTCAATTGTATATTTCTTATTTGGTGAAATTCTTAAAAACATGGAAAAACGCATTTCTTATGTCAGGAAAGCAAATGGATATTTTATATAAGTTATCTTGCATACGGTTAGTACACTATACAGTTACTTTAATTTAACAGATTCTTGCACTTGTGGAATGACTTTACAAACTCGGTTAGAAAATATGTTTGATAACTTGTAAAATAATGTTAAATAATTATACAAAATATAAAAATGACAAAATTAATATAAAATGTTCATATAAAAATGTTAAAAAATTTAATTAATTTCAGTTAATAACTCAATTGTTTATTTTGATTTATGCTTTGTTTCTGCATAGATTATGTATAATATGTAGCATGTATGTATATGGTACAGCTCCAAGTTTTATGAATTTAATTTTTAATAGTGGAATAGGCCTGTAATTTGGGGAAATCACTTTAAAAAAAACCAAGCCTAATCACTTACCTCTTGGATGGTTTGGAAAAAGTGATTCAACATAAAATTGGAACTGGTACAAATAGATGGCTGTCCTTTTTTATGAATGCAATTAGCATTTAGTTCTTTGAAATTATCTTGAAAGATTTATTTATAGTATAACGTGCATGTAATTTCATCTTTATATTCAAATTTTCTAGCATTTAAGGAATTTTAATTCATTTTCCTGTTTTGATAAAATTGAGATATGCAGATTTTATTAGTGAATGGAGTGAAGAGAGATGACTATGGGTATTTGACTTTTAAAAATTTATATAGCTGATGCGATGGTAGCGGCATGGAGTTTTACAAAATAATTCTTCCCTTAATATTTATTTTACTAGTATGAAAATCTAAAATTTGCATCCATAAATCTATTGAATTCCCCCCTTATGTGGATTTTATATTATTTTGGCAATAAATTTGATTCAGATTACATAAATGAATTTCATTTTTATCAAAATTACATAAATAAAGTTCGCATGTGGTGATTCTCAATGATATTTTTAGTTACATAAACGAAGTACAAATTGTTTAAAAAATTATTGAAGATATGCATTTTTACCGCCTGTAAAAAAATTGCACTATGAAAAATTTAATGTTAATCATACGACCTACTCACGTTTATTAATTTTACTTATATTTATTTTAATACAAACTACTATTTTCGGTAAAGTTTAACTCCGGGATTATGCTAAAGAGAAAGAAATCGACTATTTCGATCACGTGACCTTCCGAAACTGATTTCGCTTCAAGGCCATGATACAGTCGGATGTGCTCTTGGCGTAATGACGTTTAGGCGGGGTTCTAATGATTTTCTTTTGTTGAATAACGCGCATCAGTGACACAGAAGAGTGAAAATTATCGTTTGTTTCCTTCGAAACGAAAACATTTAGCTGCAGCGTTCTGCAGATGGATTCCTGTTGTAACCTGCTTCTCTGACAAATACTATTTTTTTGCAAAAATACAAAACATGTTACACATTAAAAAATGGGCAATATTCATAAAGTAATATTATTCAATTTAAAATATGTACTTCTATTTCTCTGTTCGAAATTCATATTAGTCTAACTTCAAAAATAAATTTTACTTTTTAAGACTGATTATAAATATTGTGAATTTATTGTGTACTTGTGTAATGTTAGCTCCCAACGTCGTTTTGGATATTTCCGAAAACTGACTTGTCGCATGCTTTCGCAGATTGCATCAGGAGACAATAAAGATATAATGAATATGAAATAATTAATTAATAATCACAACACCTATAATATGAATGGTTTTTAATTAAGAATACATTTATTAAAAAATCTCTGAACTTAATACACATTTACGGATTTAGCACAAGAAGAAATAATACTTTTCCTCTCTACGGAAAAAAATCACTACATGTTTTATATCAAATTCACAACACTACAGTGTTGTAAAAATTAAAATCTCGTAGCAGCAAAAATACAAGGCTCGTAATCTTTTCGGTATTGTTACCAAAATGTAAACAAACGGTATGGAAGTTTATCCTCGAGACCAAGCAAAGTCAAGGCGTTCCTAAGCAATGAGGAAATAATGCAATCGGATTAATCAGGAGGAGGAATTTTTCCCTATATGCGTCCCGCTCTCTTTTATTTATTTATTTATTTTTGGTCTCTGCTCTTGGATCGCCTCTTTTTTGTTCACCTCTCTTTGCTTTCTTTCGATTTGCTGTGGCAACATGCTACTGCCCGCTGCCTTCAAAATATATATATTTTTCACGTTTATGTGATAAAAAATATTTTTTAAGAACAAGGCACTTTAGCGCCGATTTGATTTGTGTTGTATTAAATGAAAATATATGTTAACCACTATTGAAAAGGAAACAATTGAATTCGGCCACGTCTACAAACTTCTGGCTTATGTATCTGTTATGTATTAATTGTTATTATTTTCAAGCTAGCAGTTTTGCTTACTTAATTCAGTTTTGATCAGTAATTGAAGTTATTCATTTTTGCATTGTTGTTTAAAGTTGGTTGTAAGTTTAAACTGCAACTTTTTTAACTTTAAATTTAGGTCTGGTTGCTTTAAAAGTTTGTGTTGAAGTTGTTTAATTTTTAATTTGAGTTTAGGGACTTAAGTTTACTTGGTTTTCGTCCTTTTGTTTTGACCCCTAATGTTGTTTAACTTTTAACTTTAATTATTTTAAAGCCTTGTTGCTACACTTTTGGTGTGTTAATTTTTTTTTAATTTAACTTAATTTTTACCCCTCTTTTTATTAAAGTTATCGAATACATATTTTCTGACTGGTAGTAAGGTAAATCAAAAGTAATTGAAACTCAATCTGGATAATGAGTGTGTATACTTAATTTTCTACTGAAGAAACAATTTATATTGTGCTGACATTTTGTAATGAATTTAATTGTTATGTAATAGTTTAATTTTAATGTCCTAAATTCGTTTATTGTGTTGAATAAACGAATAACTATTGATTGGTTCTGAAAAATGTTCTCATCCAAACCGTCCACATGGAATTCATTCTCAGAATCCCTTATCTAGGGAATACTGCACCCCGAAATTCTTTCGCCTAAGCGTTTGAACACATGTATGATGTATCCACCACATGTTCTGATGACCGTGCCACGTGCAGTATTTTGCATAAACGGGACCCCGGTTGCTGTGACATCTCTGGCGGGAAGATGTTCTACAGAGAGTTTATTTATGAGAGTGAAAAGTTGTTGGATAGGAAGCTTGCAATGTTGGAGTTGCGCCTCGAGACGAGGCTAGTTTCTCCCGTTTTCCATCAGCAGAGTGGCCTTGGAGGCCGAATGGTTGAACCGCGCTAGTTGGCGTCTTCTGGTAGTCGGGAAACCCTTTCCCGTGAAGATTTATCTGTTTGGTTTGCTGTGCATGGCGTTCTTCCGATCATCATACTTCAACAATTTTTTCAAAAGCGCGCCAGGTATCGAAGTGGCTGCGCAGTGGATGACGAAAGAGGGACACGGAGAAAAGAAATTTCATGAGACGCTCGCAGAAAAAAAAATAACAAAAGAGATGTCAACTTTACCGTTCAGCGTGGAGGGCAGCCGCTTCGAAGACGAGGAGGAGAAGAACGTTTAAATAACCTGCACCAAAAAAAGGCGTCCTGCATCTATAATTCTTGCTGAATTCCTGATTCAATAATAGTCTGTGGTGGGAAGATTTGTGTCCTACCGGTTGGAAGTTGCAAAAGGAGGGAAGCCTGGCCTCCGAAACAATAGCCTTTGATTAATTTTATCTCTTACATTTTTCTTCTTCTTACAGATGATTTTCCGGACGTATAGTAATTATTCCCTGAGACAATATTGTATCCTGTCATTGTTTTCACTATCAAGTAATCCGCAAATTGGTATGATGGAGTCCATCCGGGAACAGTGAAATGTTATATATGTTAAAGAAGGTATGTTAACGTCTTCCGTTGTTTCTTCAGATATTTAGATGACCAGTCACCACCAATTTAAAATGTAACTTGTATTCTTAATCGTATCACCATAAATACGTTAGTTTGATTTTACTTACCTTGTATTGTAATTAATTTTAATTAACTTTGCACTGGACCATAGTAATTGAACCGGTTACTGCCGAACAATATGTCACACAATGCAAACACCTTTTTGAAATTTAGAATTGCTTTATTGTTTATGTTTCACTGATCATTACTCGAATTGTTAATTAATGTGAATGATACAGTATTGGTTAAGAAAAATGTTTACTTATATTATGAAATATTTTATTCTATTACAAACCGTATATTCTTCTTTAAAAAATAATAAGATTCAGCATGAAATTATATTAAGTTAACATTCCTAAACTCAAAGTTAATGAAATTTTAGAAAAAGAAAGAATTCAGCATGAAATTATATTAAGTAAACATTTAATGCATGAGATTTATATGTATCTCCTATTCACACAATTACCTACTACAATATAGGTATTAACATGAATTTTCAATTGCACAGTAATGATATTTGGTAGTACCCATTGAAATATCTTATGTTATATTGTTCTATACTTAATATAGAACACATCCAAGCCAAGTTATTACAACGAGCTTCTTACCATTTCACTGCATATATATATATTAACTAGCAATTTAGAAAATTAATGATATTGCAAATTATAAATCGAGTTTATAAATCATATCGTAGCAGCATTATGTGCACGAAATGTTTTTTAAGTTCTTATTACATATAGTTTTTCCAGTTAACTAAACCGTAACATTCAAAAGGTTTGTTCGTGGATTCAGACAGGGAACTCATGCAACCAAAGGCAACACATATATGAAAGACACTGAAGTTCTCAAAATTGAGTATACAGATAAAAAGGTTTCTTAAAATACCACCGAGGTAACAAATCATCAGTCATTTTGGGATCTGAACATTGCATGCGTTTGGTTTAGGATTTATTTTGATATCTTACGTAAATATTATTATTGTCCTTCATATGAAGGTTCCATAATCCATAAAAAAAGAAGTACCTGATATTAAAAAAAAATTATTAGCTGTATTAGCTCAGCAAATGCTTTCAGCTACGTATTTTTGAATGCCAAGATGTTCTGAGTTATTTTATAGATTCTCAATAATATTATAGTAGATGTGCTTATTATGGAGGAAGTAATAATGAAAATTTCGACCAAAACGAATGACTGTGTTTCTGAAATCCAGAATTTTTATGAACTTTCACTCAGCTAAGAAACCTACAAAAGTCAAATTTAGCATTACTTAAGATATTAAATTCTGATCTTTACTTTAAAGCATATTAATTTAGTTTCTTCTAGTTATGATTCCTTCTAATTTTCTGTACTACAGATACATTTGCTAGATTGTACTTAAAAAGGCAATTTTATCCTTAAATATTTCGTATTTAATGATTTGAGAACTAACAGTTATGATACAGTTTGTTATATTTTACGTTCTTTGTGAAATGTTTTACATTATGCGAACTCAAATAACTAAGCAAAAATGTTTTCGAAAATATTTTATTCTATTACAAACCGTAGATTCTTCTTTAAAAAATAATAAGATTATAAATCCTAATTAAAAAAACAATCAAAACATATAATTTGTTGAATCTTTGATTAACTATATTGACCTTCCTTAGTCAACTTGTAACTAATTTGGTGACAAGTACGCATAAAATGTGAAGAATATTGGGTACTTGCGTATTAACGCCACCGCAGCAGAAGTTGCGCTGATGCGCCAATAAAGAGTCTGGTGCGCCAATAAATGTTTTGGAAAATAAACCAAACAAGAAGGTAGGTGAACCAGATTTGTTGTTGAGTATTACCGAAATAATGGGTGTTTGGTGGTATATATATGTAGAGAAACAAAAGATTCGTTTGTTGTCACTGTTCCTAATAGAACTCTCTCTACTCTTCTTAATAAAATTATTGAAAACATTGCAGATGATAGCACAATTTATTCTAAATAGAAGAGAAAAAGAAAGATTCCTACATGCTAAAGTTAATCATAAATACAATTTTATTGATCTTGATACAGTAGTTCATACACAAACAGTTGACAGAATGTGGGGCAGTGTTAAATGGAGGAACAAGAGACATAGGGGGACAGAAATACATCATTTAGAATCTTATTTAGCAAAGTTCATATGGCAGCAACATCAGGTCAAAGAAAATAGAGACTGTTTTGAATCTATGCTAAACTCTATATCGGCCCATTTTCCCCAGAAATCCGATTGATTACTTTGATTTTAAATAAAGTGTTTTGATTTTAAGTAAAGTTGTTTTAATTTATGATTTGTCGCAAAAATTTTAGGTGTAGATTGGCAATACTTAAAATCCGCCAAATCTGCAGCTGCGGTTGCGTTAATACGTAAGTACCGGATAGGGATATGGGCGGATCCTGTAGATTCTTATAATCAAATGATGATCACGATCAAAAATATTATAAAATGAAGAAATTCATATTATCAAATGAAGATTCTTAGAAATGAATTATAATTTAAACTGAACATAAAATGAAAAATGAGTTTAATATTTTCACAGATAATTATGAAGCAAATAGGATAAATATATTATTCCTCAGGTCAAAAGAAGTCATTAGACAAATCGTGACATTTATCATGACTTCAAAACTACTGTTATGAATAAGGATTTCTGAGCCTTATCTATTAAATATTGAAAGAGCAAAATAAGTAACTATTACTGCAATGGGGAGAAGTAAGTTGACATTTCAGTGTATATTATTTGTGATGATTTACATTAGCGAAAACTGTGATATATTTATTATCTCGTATGTCATCAGCGATGGAGTTGGACTTTTTATTGAAAACACTCGCTTTTACTTCCAGTTTCATTATTTACATGATTATCTGTATTTAAATGCAAAATTAAACGTTACTGTCGTATGTTCTTTATAATTAGGTGAGTTGCACTTAACTGACTTCAAACTGATCCTAAACTCAAAGTTAATGAAATTTTAGAAAAAGAAAGAATTCAGCATGGAATTATATTAAGCAAACATTTAATGCATGCGATTTGTATATCTCAGATAATATGCTTATGGCAAAATCTACTCATTTTACCTATAAACGATTTCAGTTGCGGTTATTATCATAAAATACACGGTGCTCTTAAGACACCAGAGTAAACAATTATCCGTAGCTCACTTTCGTAGCTAACATTCGTAGCTCACTATCCCGCCCGAATGATTACAGCCATTGAGACAATCACGAATTGAATTCCAGAAGATTTAGAGGAATCATGTTGGATTGATTTTCTATTTGGAATAGTTACTTCCGCAGAATAACTAGCGGATTAAGTTAAAATCGCCTGCAGTTATTGTTATCTACGAGGGGCTTGTGACTGCTAATCGGCTTTAAGGGATTCGCTGTGTGTTGTTTGGATTTCAAGGGAAAATGACTTAATAAAGAAAGATTACTTATAAATCTTTTCCTGGTACTTATAAATTGGCAATCTTGGATACCATTTGGCAGAAAGCTGTGTTGTTATTTTGAAAATCGAGGCCCATTTCCTTTTTTAAATTCATTAAAACTAGCGGCATCCAGAAGGATAGCTTGATTTAGCATTCAAATAGTAGGGAAAAGGAGCAGGGTAATATTTTATATATTATTAAATAAAAAGTTATGAAAAATCTTAGATCGAGTTTTTAATATGAATACAAAAATTATTGTTGGGTTCATAATAGATTGAATGCACAAGTCCAATAAAATGTTAATACAGTTTATTCTTATCAAAAGAAATATAACAGGTTGCTGGAATTTTCTTCAGAGATATTCGTACAGGTGTTCAAATTATCACGTAATTATAATCATTAGTTATCCCTGAAACTACTAAATCGTTAAACAGAACACAGTTCTCAGCGCAGAGAAAGCTAATACGATCAATATTAACAACAGCAGCTAACTAAACAACAACTGAGCTGAGGAGCTATCTCTCTCCGGTTTTTAAATCTTTCAATCGGTCGCGAGAGAGTTCAAGTAACTTCTTTGCTTTTCGAGATTTCTGGAAAACAACAAGAGGATGGAATTACGGTTATAACTAACACAGTACGCAATTACATTTATTCAATTTCAATATGCATAAAAGAGATATCCATTTATTCAATGATAAATGCACGTGCTCATATATATATATATATATTACTTTTTCGGCGTAGCTTTCTTTTAAAATTTTTCACGCGCTGCATTGCACGGGGAAATGAAACAATTCTAATTATAGTTCTCCTAAAACTAGCAATTTAAATGCAAAATTCGTAATATTATATAAATTATTGTTACCGAATTACTATTAAATATTTATGTTATTGCATACTCTGGTGTTAAATTATATTAAATTCCTTGCAGACTGATTCTTCTACATATAATAAATAATAAAAGATGCCATATATGTTATTTTTTTCATTTCAGATTTTAAGAGCTTTCATTGAAATCAAGCTTTTAATCCTAACAAGAATTTATTTCACATACGTATGCTTTTTATTTTCAAGGCAATGAAATGCCTTAGTTATAACATCAGTAACATGCAAACCGATATTTTAAAGGTAATATAATTTGGAAAGGATAATCTGAAATCCAGCGAAGTCGACTTTATACCTATGATACTGAATTTATCAGGCTTCAACAGCCTCTCCAAGGGCAATGTAAAAGTTGAGATAACAGGTACCTCACAGAATACCAGCAGCCTATAAGGAATTCCGAGTGCCAGCTTGTTTGGTGTTGCTGTCATGGCATTGCAACATGCTCATATTTAGTCGAAAATTATCAAGCAATGTAAGTGGGCCCAATATGACGCTCCAAAGCGTACCAGAGAGTGATTATCTCCACGTGACCTTATTCCTCACACCTTCAGATTACCTTCGTATCCACGCACGATAATGCTGTGTGTCTGGTGTATTAGTTGCCAAGTAATGCATTACAAGCTACTAATATCAAGCATATCACCACCGAAGACCTGTACTCACAGCAGACGCAACGAATAGAACATGCATTGCAACAGAACAAGACAGCGATGGCACGCGTGCCACAGTCGGCACGCAGAGGCTCATCAGCCGTGACGCGACTAAAATATTACTTCCTTAATCAATAATCTCAATGAAATTATACTGTGTAATTTAAATAAAGTCTGTTCTTGAACGTTTCACTTACTTACTTATTTTTACTTAGGCTTACTTTTCATTTACTTACTTACGGCACTTTAACACCAACCACGAGATTATTGCCGAACTTGATGAAGCTGAACGGAAGCTGTATATTGAAGGGAAACTTAAGAATTATAATTACCAGAAAATTGTTTTTTGCAATTAGCTTTCTAGAAAAACCCTTCTAACAATAGCCAGCTTTCAGATTTCACTGTGCCTGGCAAAACATAGTAAATCGCTCTTAGATGGGGATTTAGTCAAAAAGGTTTTGGGAACGCCGGTACCCCCCAAAAAGGTTCGCCACCACTGGACTATACGAGCAAGCACGAATAGAGTTATCATTCAGCTACATGTCTGGGAGGCACTAAGCTCGGATCCAGCGAACAAAGACACGTGGTCCTTGCCCTGGACAAGCACCTTCATGGGAAATACTTCGGTAATGACGAATATCTTCAGGGCGCACTCACAGGTTCATTGTGTCCAGGACCCCTCAGTTTTATTTACAGCGCGTTTATCAGCTGCGTGGACGTTGGCAAAGGATGCTAGATGATTCACAGAGATTATTTCAAGATTTAATGCAAAGTACCATTGTCTGTCTGTTTCTGACAATCACGGACGGCGAGACCGTTTTTGCTTTTCCTTTAGCAGTAGGAAGTGGTTGTGGAATTATTTAAGTAGAAAAATACGTAATATAGCTAATTTTATGTTTAGCGTATGCTTGTTTGAATTTCATTCAATGCTTACGGCGACTTGTTAAGTCCGCGAATGTTTTTCTGTTAATTTGCCTGTGAATCTTTAACTTCATGCGATAGATCTGCATTCATAAAGCAGAATAATATATATATACATTTTACTTTCAGCTCATATTCTAAAGTTTTCAAATTCGTTTGATATATTCACACTCTGTAATTAGTATTTAAGTTCTTTTTAATTATTCCAAATTCGAAAATTGATTTTCACTGTATTTACAGGGAAAAAATGCAAATATGCAAAGTTTCACATTTCAGATTAATGTACTTCAAAATTCAACTGTGTAAGTCTTAACGGTACTAGAAGTTACACTTGAAAGGTTAAGCTACTCTTTGCCTCTTAAAGATAAACATTCTTCAGCTATAGGGTTGTAAACTTGCAAATGTAGCGTCTTGTTTTCTATAGCGCTAAAGATTAATTCATTAATTAAAAAAATAAAACCTTCACTAATTGAGAGATAAAAAAATACAAATGTGATTTTCACACAAAAGAATTTTTAATAAAATCAAAAAACTTATTATGAAGAATTATTCTAGAAAGCATATTAAAGAAAAGATTTCTATATTTTTTAAGCTTTACATCCTTCCTTTAAATTCTGTCAGATTATATGTTAAAGAGGTCTCTGCGTTTATTATGCATTTTAGGTTAATGTAACACAATTCTACTTTCAAAGGAGCACGTATAACGAGATCCATTCTCCACAGATGTAAACAAGAAACTCTTTGCTGCTTGCGGCTTCTCCAGAACGTGGACCATTTTTACTGTCAGACCCACAAATAAATTCAGAGAGCGTTCCAGTGTGGGCTAATGCTATTAAATCAAAGAGCTGTTCACGATGAAAATAAAAGGCATAGATTCAGGAATTGCTTTTTTCTCTCTCTAAGCGAACTAAAGGAACATTAAGTTAATGGCAACTCTCCCTCCTTTTGCTATAAATAGAGAAACGTGTTGCTACTTTCACGACTTCTTTTTTAATCTTTAACGGTAAATATAGGGAAGAGCCAGCAATATTATCTGTTTCGTGATTTTCAGAATCACTTTTATAAGTATCACAACAGTTAACGGAATTCACTGAAATGGTTACGAAAAATGTCATCTGAAATGAATTAGAAGGCCAAAATATGATGGAAATTATTAATTTTCGAAACTTAACGATATTCTCTAGTCGGAGATGGAATTGATGGAAATTTTGATGGGAAGCATTCACTAAACAATGAGTAAAGTAAGCATTCTATTTGACCAATCTTGTAATATATTTTTTCCTTTACAATATATGATATTTTGATGAAAAGTTTAGCTGAAAGCAAGATGGAGAATAAAAATAAATTTGCAGCGCATGAAAGAAGAAACATAAACTGCTGTGAACTCGTGATAGCTTCAGCTTATACTTGGCAGAATTTTTTTTAGTTTGAACTGTGAAATAAATCGAAAATATGCACAGGTACCGAGGAATGAAAACTTACAAATATAGCTTAAATAGTAAACCAGAGAATGTATAAGACTTTGAAGCTGCGATGAGAGAAAATATTTTGGGACAAAGACTGAAAGGCTAAATTATATACATTTGACACTAAAATGTTAAATCTATTCAAACTAAATTTAAATCATTCTGGTTATCAAAATCTTAAATACTGTTTTTCATTTATCTGTCATGGTTAATAAAACAATTGTAATTGTACATTTTCATACGCAAAGAAATACGCAATATGAAATTATTCATTTGTTGAATGTGTCAACGAGGTTTCAAAAGATCAGTCACAATGAGGGCATACTCGGAGGAGGAAGAAAGCGCACAATATTCGAAAATGCAAAGCAATGAATGAAATCCGAGAATCAAGAGGGGGGAACATCTGCCGTTTGAACGCAGATAGGAAACAGGATTTCAGATTTATAAATTGAAACAAGGTTCAGTACTACCAACGTATGCAGACCAATGTATAAGACGTTAAAAACTGCGCGTGCCACTCAGGCAAGCCTCAGATACATATTTGTTTTTAGTGATAAAGTCTTCGACCATCACTGCAACTGTAATGAATGAATTAAGTCCACATATGCTGCTTAGCTTCCTGGCGTGAGCAGCCTCTAATGTAATAATTCGAAAAGATGCTAATAGAAAAGCACTTACTGGTTCTGTTGATTTAATGAATAAATTAGGAGACAAGCATGATACAAATCCATTTCAGAAGATGTTTTACTTCCTCTGTCAATTGGGGAATCACTTTTGAAATTAAAAATGGATTTTGAGACGGAGACGCAGTACAAAAATTGAAAGTACTCAGGATTGGTAAAAGTTATATTGTTTTTCAGACTTTCTCAGAACATAAGAACGACCACCTTATTTTCCTTGATTCAAATATACTTGACAGATAATAGTCGCTCAAAAGCTCATAATTTGACACAAAAATTTCTATTTTAGAGACCCTGTTATTTTTGTGTCTTTTTAATTTAAGAAAATTTTATTTATAAATGCATTTGATTTGTTTTTAGTAACATTACCTATGTTCTGTATGAGTAAAACCATTCATACGCATATGTTACAAAAAAAAAAAAAAAAAAAAAAAGAAAAAAAGAAAAAAAAAAAAAAAAAAAATAACTTTCCTTATAAATATTTTATAAAATTACTTAAATTAATTATCTAATGTATATATTCCATGCTTTTAATTTTTAAAAAATGTATTATGGCACCAATCTTACTAGTATCAGTTATTTTCGAAATACTTAACTCCTCCACAAATGCATCTGATATTTAATTAGTTCACGGTAATCTCTTTGTCACTATAACATGTAACCGCGTTTTTGTTGTTTTGAAAATTTTCAAATTTCTCTCTTCTCCAGTTCTCCAGTTTTAAGTATGAATCATATTACGAGTAATTATCATTATTTGTACAATATTTATCAGTTAGTAAAATTTTTATCAGGTATATTATAAAGTGATTAACTGTATATTTTTATCACTTATGTCTTGAACACAACAGATCAGTTATCTGATTTTTCTTCATTAATACCGTGTTCTACAAGGTCTGTAAACCGTCCTTATTTCATCATAATTTAAGTAATTTTCATTATTAAGTTTCATTTAAAATTTAGTTACAATAAAAAAGAACAACGTTAAAAGAAATCCAGAGAAACTCGCAATAATAAAGGTTACATCTCGATAAGATGTTCACCTTTATATGTCACAACTGCAAATGGTTAATTACACGCTAATGATCTATAAGGAAATATGACAAGATTTAATGACGAACTAATAGTTAGGATCGACTCATTCTTCTCTCTGAAACTGAGGATAAGTAAAAATAAATATGCGAAGGATGCACTTTTTATCAATAGTAGAAGTTACGAAATATAATCTTGAATATTATTCTACACCAGACATACCAAATTCAGTATCTCACGTGAATAAACTAGCCATGAGTGCAACATAATGCGGCCCGTAAGAAAACATAAAGTTATTTTCAATTACAAATGATATGATACTTAAATGGGACTAAATGCGTATGATTAGCGTATGAATTTAAACGGGACTAAATGCGTATTGTCTTTAAAAAATGAAAGGAACATAAGGAAATTCATGTAGTAAAAAAACATCAAATGTTTCTTTCCCTACACCTGGCAGTTTGTTCCTGCAACCAGCTTTGGGATGTCTGGACAGATATGCTAGTCACTGATGTTATGCTAGTCACTGATCTTCACATAAATGTCGGTTAACCTGGTTCTCGCCTGCATCTTGCTAATTTTCATAAGAAACGTTGTTCACACTGGTGTATACAACCGAACAAAGAAATCATGTAAGATGCAAGCTTGAGGCTTTCTGGGAACGTCTCAGGCAAGTATTTGTAAAATTTGGGTCATTCATTCCATTTAATGTTTGCTTTAGAGTTCAGTCGCGCTGATTTCTGTTAATTCCAATGGTAAATTGGCTGACGTTTTCTTAAGATCGATTAACAAAAGAGGCAGTATACAAGGAGAACTTATCTTCATTAGATCCGATATCGCAGAACTGTTCTTTGAATTGAGCTGAGACTTTTCGGCACACATCCTGTATAAAGCAGGCTCCCTTGAACTTGTTTTGCACTTAGAATTTAAGAAGTATGCCAGTTCTTCGCATTTTTATAGAAGTTAAGAAGTATGTCAGTCCTTCACATTTTTATGGAAGAAGTTGAGAAATATGTCAGTCCTTCGTATTTTTATAGAAGTTAAGAAGCATGTGAGTCTTTATATTTTCACTCTTGCTTCCAATGCAGTAACTTGCTTTTGAATGTTTTCACCGGATCATTCATATTTGTAATAATTATGTCTTTTTACAAATATTTTAAAACTGAAACATTGCATCAACCGTAAAAGAAAGATCTCACAACTTCAAAGGAACAATCAATACGCCGGTGTCCTGTTCTTTCTTTTGCAAAAATCGGCGAATTTAGACTTTCAAGTTCCTAAGCTTGTCGAGAAGCAAGAAACAGTGTAGCCCCTTCTGCGCAATAAGGAAGCTCAGAATCTGCACCCTTCTGCGCAATAAAGAAGCTCAGAATGTAATGAATTTCTTTAAGAGAAAGCGGAAATCCGTTGCTGGTTTAAACCGTAATTTCTTATGAAGTTGACTTTTTTGCCATTTCATAACATTTTCTGTATTAATCACTTTTGAACGTACATTTCAGTGGACTTGATCGAAATTTCTATATAATTTACTTATCTGTTTATGTAGGTATGCTTTGAAGATATTACGTTTTCTAGTCTCTGAAGGTGTTCCATTATGAACTACATAGGGCAGCCTAGAAAAAGTGAAATCATTTTTTTTTTCAGAAGTTCGCAAACAGTTCTGCATAAATCTTCTCCACTCTCAGGGTCATGTAACAGTACAATGGCCAGTTATTTCCCCAAAATACGAATTCTGAATCACAACGTCAACGAAATACGGCTCTGTACTCTCATTACATGAAATATGTAACAACGCTTGATGCTTTTATTTTCATTTGGTGACTCAGCTAGGATGCCAATTCAATTACTCATTGGGCCGCAGAGAGATACTTTGAAATACTTTTATACATTCAGGGTTAAATATTTCAGCTGAGTTGACAAATGGTCTTTAAGAAAATCGCAACCCGTGAAAACGTTTTGTGTCTTTGCCTATCATCTTCAAGAATACATAGCATACATGGGCTGCAGCTTTGCTCACTTCACTAAATTTTGTAAACACGTTATTGGTTCCGTTCTGCTTCAGTTCTTTCAACTTATCTTACTTATCATAGCTACATATTTCAACTTATCTTACTTATCATAGCTACATATTTCAACTTATCTTACTTATCATATTGTAGGGTTTACCTTAGTTATTTAACCTATTATTCAAATTTTTGTTATCTTTCCTGAATTCCTCAACTTCCCCTAGCATCTCGTCGCCAGGATGTAAATTTAAAGTTAAGTGAAGTGAGCATTTAAACGGGTGAATTTTGTAGTTTACTCAAACCGTGTTTTCGCTAGCCAGCGCAAATTGCATTTCTGATCTTGCTGTAACGCTAATACGCCACTTAGCCATTTCGAATAATTCTCACGCTTGTTAGATTTGTTGAGTCAACCTAAGTTTAGCCGTTCATGTGCTAATCCAGCACTATTATATTTAGACTTGACTTGATTTATGTAATAATGTTTAAGTTCTACCGGAAGTACTGGAAGCGTGTCGCTAAACAAAGGAAAGAGGAGGGACTGTTCAGGAAAGAGAGGCACTCAGGCAACTACAAAAGGTTGATTGACAATTCACTTGAGAACTCTGGGAAAAAAAAAAAAAAATAAAAAACAATGATCTATCTGCTAAGGCGGAAGCTTTCGGTATTATTGTAAACACGAAGTACGTACCTTTTTGCAAAGAAACTGTCTCAAGTGTCCTTTTTAACACCTGAAGTTTTATACACTCCCCGATATTTGTTCAATTTTTATTAAAATTATATATTAATACAATATACTTATAATCGTATATTTTTTTATATTTCCTCGTTGTGAACCGACAGCAGCAGCAGAAGAAGTCACATGCCGCAAGTTTGGAATGTAGGACTATAGGACTTTCTCTATAGCATCCATTTTAGGGATAGGGTTTTATGTTAAATTACACAAGCGCTTGCCACACTTAAGGAATTTCATTTGAAAGGTTTATAAGATATTTCTCCCGCCTTCTTAGTATGCCTTTGTGGTGTAGTAGTCAGCACGCTCGACACGTATTCGAGAGGTCCGTAGTTCGAATCCCAGCGAGGACATTGCTCATTTTTCATATCTCCTGCTTCGAAATAACTTAAATGTCTCCATAGGTTAATTTGTTTTGGTTTAATTGATTATCTCAAATTATAATAGGGCTATCTACCTAAGGGATGCGTTCATGGAGGACTTTCTGAGGCAAACTGGCTGGTATGCACGTTACACATAGGGAAAACAAAGAAAACACCTATGCAGCCAGCTTGTCCACCTGGAATCGAACCCAGGTTGGAACTACCAGTGTGTAGCAATTTTAACTGCTCGGCTGCTGATAGGCTCCCTTCGAAACGAATGAAAAATATCTCTTATTATATAAGTAGCGGACTATAACAGAAAGGGGCTGATAGCTGCACTTTAACATCAAAGATAACCACTTTGATAATTTGTAAATATATTACAGGTAATAGTGATTTTTTAGCTATGAATGTGATATTTTTAGTGTATCCATTAAAATTATGGACTACAGTTAATATTTCAAGTTACTGCACATCATCGGATATATACAAAATGAAGTATTTCAAATTGGAACTTAAACTAACATTAAACAACCTTAAAAAAGTTGAAAATTTAAACGTGATCCTAAATAAACTTTATTGCCTGAAAAAATGAATTCAAACAATAGGCAAGGTTTATTGATTTCGCCTTAGCAGATAGATCATTGTTTTTTTTTTTTTTTTTTTTTTTTTTTTTTTTTTTTTTTTTTTTTTTTTTTTTTTTTTCCCAGAGTTCTCAAGTGAATTGTCAATCAACCTTTTGTAGTTGCCTGAGTGCCTCTCTTTCCTGAACAGTCCCTCCTCTTTCCTTTGTTTAGCGACACGCTTCCAGTACTTCACACTTATCCCATAAGCTATTCACGTTCCTTTGCTCTGCTTGTTCTTCCACATGGTCTTGCAACTATTAATACCTGCGATGAAATTCCACTCAAGACAGAATCGAGTAGTGCTAACACCTTACAAAGTTACGAAGGAAGAAGTAACTACTTCGCTTAAACTATTTCTTTTATTAACATTCTAGTAGTTTAGTTCTTGAGGAAGGAAATTAGAATTTTTTTCGTCCAGAGAATTTCAAATGTGGGGCATTTGTTTTGGCGTTTTGTCCATGGGAAACAGTTAAAAGAGCTTTTGTATCCAGGTAAAACACCTAATGAACATTTTTAATTTAGACAAAGAAAAGCAAGTGCTATTTACTGGAACTGAGGTGGCCAAGTCTTTTCTACCTAAGCATTAAAAAACAACAAAAATTAGTGAAATTTTAATCTGACATGTGCAGAAATACTACATAATTATTTAAATGCCGGAGATGTAAAATTTAGCCTACTTCATCATATTATTTTTATATTTTGAACGATCAGGAAGAAGTTTTAGAGATCTTATATAAGGCTCAAAATATCCAGGATAGGTAACATTTGTAATTTCATCTGTAAACCGAGAAGAGGGATCGTACGATAGACTAAAGGATGACTGCTGAGTAATTATTAGAATAAATATTTTACGTGATTCTAGAGAATCTTCAGCCAGATTGAACAGTAGTCTTTATTAAATATATAATTGTTTACAGTCATAACGGCACTACAGTTCGCTTTAGAACTTTCAGCAATAAATGAGTAGGACAAATTTAAAGCAGTGTAGTACATTAGTGACATATGCCTGTACTCAAGAGCATCTGCTTCTACGACACTGATATGACACATTCATTTACAGCATGTTTCCATTACCTTGACTGTAAATGCAGCACTGGTAGAGAATTGTGTGATTTCACTAACATGAGTGTAGTAAATGTGATACAGCCAGAGCCTTAGCCTTGTTGTAATTTAGTATAAATGCAAGGTAAAAGTAACTATTTTTAAAATTTGTTTTTAACATTTTCAAAATAAACTAGTAGTGATTCAACAGTACATTATGACCGAAACAGCTATTAAAAATATAGATCTTGGTAACAAACTTCAAACAAAACTGATCTTGGTAACAAAAAGGACAATCTTAAGCATATGCATAATATGGAAAACCTAACTAATTTGCAAAATTCAATGATTTTTATGTAATGTGAATCAACAATTCACTTTATATCTTAATTTAAAATGGCTGTTAATTTAAAAGATATGGCCAAAGCATTAATATAATAAATATTAAATTATTGATTGAAAACTTATTTTGCATTCATAACTTGTCAGCAGAGGAAATGAAACAACTGCACAGGCAATTACTACGTTTTGAAATGATAGTAGCTATTTCAATGTATCTCTTTAACGTATTAGATGGAATGCATTTTGAACTAAACAAAAAAATATTCAGCTCAATTGTTTATTTGTCTTTCAGACGAAACTTCAGTAAACAAATCGGCGATCTTTTTATTCTATACGAATAGTATATCTGAAAAGCGTGCTTTTTTTAAAGATTACCTAATCTGTGAACTTATCAAAGAACTTCAAAGTAGGAAATGAAGAACGGAAGGAAAAAGTGCAATATCTGTTCACTTGCCCAAAAAACATGCTGGAACAAAACGAAAAATAGAAGTAGCACAAATCACAATCAAAGAAAAAAGATTCTTCTTTTTCTTTTTTCTGAAAGAGCAAATTTCTTTTTGAAATGTTAAAGAAGAAATCCATTTTTACAGACATAAAAGGCTCTTACCTTTTCCAGTATGAGGGTAAGGCTGCGATAAAAAGTCCAAATAGCAGTCAGCTTCCTCTAAAGAAGATATATCCTCAAAGAAATTTTTGTCCAATGTCGTACCATTGTGCCCTTTGTTGGAAACTTCCGCTTCTTCTAGCATTTTGCTGGATCTTTAAATTATTGTTTCTAGTATTCTGATTCACAGTTTTTGTAGGGTGTTTTTTTTTTTTTTTTTTTTTTTTTTTTTTTTTTTTTTTTTTTTTTTTTTTTTTTTTTTTTTGTTTTTTTTTTTTTTTTTTTTTTTTTTTTTTTTTTTTTTTTTTTTTTTTTTTTTTTTCAGAACTATTTATTTCAGGAAGGTAATTCAACTATCATCGTAATACTGTTTTGGATCGTGCATCACTTTATTTTAAACATGCGGTATAATTTAATAATCAATACGACACGTTTACTTCTTCTTTATTATTTCAAAAACGTAATTATCACATCATAAAATTTGGACTTGAAATTTCGGTTATTACTTTTATTTATTCAGAAAATATGTTAATTAAACCAAATGTATTAACTTTAAATGTTTTATAAATTAAATAATAATGAATAATGAATTTTTATCTAATAAAATAAATCTCCAAGTTATGTTCTTATCGACTTGAAGTTATTCTGCATTTTGGTTAAACAGATTCATCTGCAATAAATACGTTTGCAAATTTAAATTCTTTTAAAAGTATATTCTTTTTAGGAAAATTGTTAGGAATTTATCGAATTAAAGTTAGATATTTTCAGCCTGTTTATTCTAAAATACTCTGGTTTGATAAAGCATTATAAAATGAAACAGTACGCATAGATTAAGACTTAAATAGATAAGATACGTTTGAAATTATAGATGTATATAGATTCTGGTTAAACTGTAGTGGCAATGACAAAATAGTTAGTTAAATTTTATTCAAAAATTTCAAAAAATTACTGAGATTTCAAATGTATTAGATCAAAGCTTACAATAGTTTCCTTTATTAGAAGAACTTAGGCAATATTCAAAAGTATTCCTGCCAATTCTTTCTTTGAGAAATTTACTCTTTTAAGCGAAAACAAACTTCATTCTCTTAATTATGAATTTGTTCTGTTAATTAGATTCTTAATTAGAAGAACTTAGAAACATTCAAAATTTGTGAAGCAGTGTATATTTTTTCCTCAACATTTTTAAATAAAAGAATTTTGAGATTATATTTACTCAGAAAGAGAACGCATGTGTTTTAGTATAATATCTGTGCAACAAAATTCAATACTTCGGTCATTTTGACTTTTATTATAAATATAAAAATTTAAATCAACTAAGATTTTTTGTTAGCTAATCCTTTAATAGAGGGGAAAAGTGTTTAAAAAGACTTCCGAAAAATTTTGAAATACAAAAAAGCATTTATGAATTTTTCAAAATTTTGCAAATAATAACTACGACCATAAGCCTGAAACTCAATTTAGTTCTAATATTAAAATTGTAAAACGGTATTTTCAACACTGTAGAATTACGTGGTTAGTTTCTAAGTTGCACTAAGCAACATGGCCAATGCCTAACATTTTCACATTGTAATTTTACGTTTTATGAATATAAATTAGAGTTAGCTGTTTTCATAGATTTTTTTTAAGAAGCTCTTTTCATAGAGACGTAGAAGGGCAGACAGAAACGTAATATTCGTTATATACTTCTGCACCAGTTCGAATTGAAATTCAAATCTGAACATTCTGCATTAAAGCTGGATTTTATTCAAATAGAAGCATGTTATTCCGAAACAGTATACTCTATTCATGTTTCAGAAAATTTTGATTTAACTTTGCTTTGTTCCTTCAAGAAAAATTTCTCACTTCTTTCTATTTCTCAGAATAACAGTAGGAAATAGGCTTCGCTTCTATGAATTTTTCATTTTAGAGGAGGCAACACTCACAAGAATATTATTTTCTCTGTGCAGTCTGAAAAAAAGAAGAAAAAATATGATTAAAGCTTAAATGCCATATATTAACAAAGAAATCTGCCTCAGTGGCAGGGTTAATGCAGTTTTTATACCAATTTACTTAATATTCTATGTACATTAATTAAAAGCTTCATTATTACGCAGTGTTTTTATTATGTAATAAAATATTATTTTCCGATTGCGCTGAAGCAGAGCTTGATGAATAAATCCACGTTTTTACTCAACAAACTGCGCATATTTTTAATAACATTTTAAAGTAACCATTTTTAACAATTTAACTTTTTCAAGTAACCCTTTTTAACAATACTAATATCTATCACAATTGTTAGGAAAATATTAAATAATACTCTTTTATTCAGAAAATAATATATGTAATGTATATTTGGAAATGGGGAAAATATTTAATTATAATTAATACAATTAAAATAACGAATAAGAACTAATGAAATTAATCTTAAAATTAAAGCATGTATTTATAAATTATTTACTTATTTTCGTTTCATGAAGCGTAAGAAACCAGTTCTCTACAAATGTACTTGATTGCGTAGTTTATGTTTAATGGATATGATAGCCCCATTTAGTAATTCTTCTGCCACCCTGTTGGCATAAATGGAGAACCGGCTACAATAGCCTTGTTCTATATTGGAATCCCAGAGGATTTAGCTCCAATATTAAAATTGTAAAATGATTTGTTTGGAAGTGAAAAGTGTCTTTGCGGTATAGGGTCACTTAAAACACTTAAAATACTGTCTATCAGATAATCCTTCTAAGAAGTTTGTAGAAAGAGAAGATGAGTCGGAGAACTCTTCGATATTTAGATTAAATGGTAAATCACCTATCCTCGGAGAGGGAAGAACCTGCGTTCGAGTTCCAGTCTTGTTATTGCCACCCAACTTTAAAATAAATAAATAAATTAGAGGGTATGAAATATTTCAACTGTAGCAGCATTTTCCGAGGATAAGTGTCAGATCAACTAGTTGAAGAGAAAGTATGACTAGTGCACTCGCATACATCATTGCCTGATTAAGGATTATTCATTACCTGATCGCGGAAACGTTACGCAGGAGTAATAGTTAGGCAGAGAAATATGCATAGCTTGTTACGGCTGCCCATAAGCCAGTTGATAAAGCAACTATCCTACGAAGGGTGGTTCTGTTGTAGAGTCATCAGGTTATTTTGAAGCAGGAGCCATGAAAAATGAGCAATGCCCTCACCGGGCTAGAACCTGGAACTCTTGATTACGTGCCGAGTGCAGAAGACATGAAAAATGAGCAATGCTCTCACCGAGACTCGAACCTGGCCCTGTCGAATATGCGCCGAGTGTGCTAGCGTTACACCACAACGGCATGCTAGAAGGAGGGAGAAAATACCTTATACTGAATTCAGTCGATAGCTTAAGTAAGTTCTTTAAAAAATGGTTATATTTACTCCGCTATATTAAGCTCTCGCATAAAACCATTTGAATGCCAAATTTATTGCAACTACCTGCATAAATTAATAAGGCAACAATCCTGCGTTTTTCAAAACTGAATTTTTTATCTTCTGAGAATCTTTCAAAGAATTATAAAGTTATTGTTTTGATTATTGCCAAGCGTTTTTCCTCTAATTTCTCTCCCTTAATTAACATCTAAATTAAATAAATGTTGAAATAAAACTGTTAGTTACTATCCATTTCTAACTGAACAAGAATTTTATCCGTGTTCAAAAAAGATTAAAAGCTTGTCTCTTCAGAAATTCACTAAGCAGCAAAATTTCGATAATCCTTATAAATGAAACGACGGCCGTAAGCGTCAAACTGTCTTGCTCATCACTTCGGATACGAGACAGCTTGACTCGTTCGTAAATTCGTATCATTTCGTTCAATATGGCATATGACAAACGGATGTTCAGTCAAATCTTGTATTATTAACGAATACAATTTCTCTCTCATCGAACACAACATGTTTTATTCATCAGTCTTTATTACTGCAAAAAACCTCTTTTATTTATCTTTTTAAGTACATTTTCTTATAAATAACATTTAAAAATATTTTACAAATGATGTTAAATATTATTAAAAAATAAATGTAAGAAATATTATATACTACATATTAAATTCACCGGTATTAGTTCATGAAACTATATTACTAGCAAAGTAATAAATAGGATAAGTTTTTACGGGAAAGAGACGGATTCCATGAATGCTAACTAGCAGATATTTCAAGGGGATTATAGTGGCGTTTAGAGATAACAAATATGTTTTCAGAAAGATGTATTAATAGCATTCGTTAAAAAAACACATAATTATGTAAAGAAAAAATACTTCCAGAAACAAATATTTATTTCCTTAATTTTTTAATTTAAAAGTAATTTTGCGACTTCCTTAGAAACGAATTTCCAATCTTGAGCGTTAGCTATATAAACTGCACTAAGCAGCCATAAATTATATTCTCATGTCAAAAATTTTTGCATGAACAAAACATGTTCGGAGACCATTAAAATATTCAGCAGGTTCTGTAGAAAAGTTTCGAATACAGTTCCAGACAAATTAGTTTAAAGATAATTACGTGCAGTTTAAAAATAGTTACAAAAGTTAAAATGAAAAAAAAAAAAAAAAAAAAAAAAAAAAAAAAAAAAAACCTCTCTAAAATATAGGCCTGTGGGACGTTAAATTCCGGAATTAGATACCGGAAGAACAGCATGTAATATTTCGTAGCTTCAGACGCCATTTTGATGCTCTTTTGCATATTTGAAAATGTAAATTTAAATTCTATTTGACTTTAATATAATGGCGCAGCTACGTAACTGCAAATAACAATCACTAAAGGTTTATTTGAATTACAACACATATTTGAAGTTAAAAAAGTAATGCCTAACACAAAAGTTAGATTTCGCTATTTTCCGAACGAATAAAACATGGATTAAAAAGCAGGCACAAGCACATTCTAGTTGTCCTATTAGAGACAGAATTTCAACTTTACTCCTCTCAGACTTCAACTTTACTCCCTTACTTCAAAAGCATATGTTCTCAAATCACAACTGCTAGAAGACATTCCTTCATACAGAGCTATCAGTAGGATTCAGCTTAAGTTGCAGTTGAGAAATCATATGTATAAACTACTCAAGCAAAACAGATTGCTTTCTCTGAGATTCATATTAATGGAAGATAGTAAGAAAGAGGCCAATGTAAACTTTAAACCGTTACCTTATGGTAAATATCAAAACTGTAAAAGAGAAACTTTAACACATTTAACTGCATATAAAAGACACCGAAAAATAAAAGATCTTGGGTTACATCAGGCAGAAAAAACTGGCAATTTTTCTTAAATTTAGGAAGACCTCCACGAATGACTACTCACGAACTTAG